TATCTAATTGATTAACTTTATTCGTTAATAACTCTGTAAATAATGATCTGAGCCAAAATTGAAAGAGGAACTTTTAGTTCAAAATTTCATTCTCTTTCACGCCTTGAAATATTAATTAAGCGTTACGGGACACCCTGTAGCTATCTTAAACACACTTTTAGCTATTGGGTATATTTTAGATATAGCTTTAGCTACTGTAGCAAAGGTATTTGCAACGACAGTAAAAGTTGTTTCTTCTACATATAAATAGTATGCATACTACAACGAATTGTTGCAATACATGTTGCTATGACTGCCAACTGAAATACGTTTTATATTATAGCTAAATTTTGTGTATCAGGTTATTAAACTTGTTCAACTAATTTAAGCGTCACAGTTAAGATATTAGCAGTCCATGTTTTACGACGGTAATTTAGTTACGCACGCAATTTTTAGCTACGGCAGTCACTTTTTTCCGTGTAAAACTCCGTAAAAAATCAGCAAAACGATCTTTAAAGTCGATATAAAAAGTAAAGACTAAGTTGTAAATGCTTTTGAAAAATTTTATTGTAATTTATCAATTTTTTTTATTTTATTACACTCTTCTGTGGAAAATAGAGGATCTTTAATTTTGCTGTTGCATTAGCATAATCCAAGCCGGTGGCACATTCGACATTTTTACGGAAAATTGTTCACACTGCAATAAAATGGCAAAAGAAATCGCGGCTAATTTTTATATAAACATTTTAAAGGACTTGCTTTAATTTTCAACTTCCGCATTTTCCGTTCTCATTGTCTTATACTAATAATTGGTTACAAACATATGTTTCAGATATATTTGAAGATATTTACAAACATTCGATGAATCTCAAAAGGCTTAAATATCAGATAAGAATTAAAAATATAACGATATTACGATATCAAGTACGTAACACTAATTGTATGAATTTTTGAGTGAAATTGTAATATTCAATAGTGTATCCATAGTGTATCATAATTTGCATCTTTATATTTGTGTGATAAACATAATTTTTTTATGTCAGCAGACATACATATGAATACACATATACAGGGTGATTCAGAACAACCGTTTGTCCTTAAAGTACCGTATTCTTGACATAATTCTAAGACTATTTTTCCTTTACCAAAATTTTATCTGAAGCTTAGTTTTTAAGTTATAAGGAAAAATAGTTAGCAAATTACGGGACGCACACACAAGGTAGGCAAGAGCGGCGCCAATGATTGTCCGACGCGGGCGATTACTACGGACGCTCAGCTGCTCACTACACGCGATAACGCA